CTCCCACCTCCCTCACTCCCCCCTTCCTCACTCCCTCCCACCTCCCTCACTCCCCCCTTGCTCAATCCCTCCCACCTTCCTCACTCCCACTCCCTTCCCTTTCCTCAATACCCAATGTAGTAATATAAATTCATGTAGTTATATTGCAATAAACTACATTTTTCTTTCTGCCCAACTCCCTATCCCTATTCTGTCACTATAGTCAAGCATGAGAAATTATATGAATATGTTTTGGTAGTATATCAATAGAAAAGAATGATACCCCATGTATATGTATGTACCTTGAGATATTTAAACATGATAATCTTACACAATAAGTTTTGGATATATATTATAGAGGATATATCTTGGTAATATATCCTGGTTCAATATATAGATGAAGGATATATCCTTGTTCAAGATATAGCTTAAGAATATATCTTGGTAATATATCCTGGTTCAATATATAGTTGAGAATATACCCTGATTCAAGATATAATTGAAAGATATATCCTGGGTCAGGATATAGTTGAAGATATGTCTTGTGAATATATCCTTGTTCAAGTTAAAGTTGAAATATATATCTGGGTTGAGAATGTAGTGGAAAAATGCAAGATATACTTGGAAAATAATGTACCTTGATTCAGGATATTGTAGATAAATATATCTTGGTTCAGCATATAATTAAAATATTCATGATATAGTTCAGAAATTATGGAAAATACAAAGATAGAGGAGAATGGAATTTGTTGTCCATAAATTTACAATCAAGAGTCAAGAGAAAGAGAGAGGAATGGAGGGAGGGGAGGAGAAGAAGACAAAGAGAGAAATAACAAAGACTTGTCTGTGAAAGTGGGTTGGGAGAGATGTTTGATATCACATGAAACAACAAAGAACTTTGTGAACTCTTCTTTGTGAAAGTGGGTGGTGAGAGATGTTGGGGTTTGACTGGCAGGGGATGGTAAGACAGATGTTGGTGGGGTATGCAGATAAGGTGCAACTGGAGAGAGAAAGAGAGAAGAAACAAAGAACTTTGGGAACTCTGGTTTTTGAAAGTGGGGAGATGTTTGATATCACATGCAGGGGTATGACTGGCAGGGGATGGTAATTGTGGAACACTACTGAGCATAAGTGTCCTACAAGTAGTGGGACAGCTGTAGGGAGTCTGACAAATACACAAATGAAGGTGTGAAGACCCTCATAGAGATCAAGAATCATAGCTAAGTGCTGGGATTGTAGAACATGACTGTTCACGGAACTTGTATCCCGATTTCCACAGACAGTCCCAATGGAAAGTGCTCTAGCTGCGTAAACAGGTCTCTCAATCTCCACTGATCTCTGAGAGCTGGATCTAACCATTAGTAGAGCTAAGTATCAAGTGATACAGAGGTTATGGTGGTAAGAAAGATGAATTCTGCCTCATGTACGACATGAGGTATATGTACAGTGCTTATGTAATGAAATGCAATACAGTGGAAGAGAGTTGAATCTTGGGGAGAGGGAAGTACCAAGTGCAACAGTGAAGCCTTACCGAACTGTCATGCTACAGTAATACAGATGTTGGTGGGGTATGCAGATAAGGTGCAACTGGACAGAGAAAGAGAGAAACAACAGAGAACTCTGGTTTTTGAAACTGGATTGGGAGAGATGTTTGATATCACATGTGGGGGTTTGACTAATACAGATGTTGGTGGGGTATGCAGATAAGATGCAACTAGAGATCTCGGAGCTGAAGTAGAGGCAGATGTGAAGGGGATTTCTAAGCAGCTAAAAAATTCCATAGTGTGAACTGTATCCATAGTGTCAAAGTGGATAATGCTTAAGCAACTCAGGAATCTTGGACTGAATAGCTTCAAGGTGAATCACACATGTCATTGATGCCCAAATTTGTTAGAGGAGAATGAATGAATCTGTAATGCAAACTGTAATTATGGTGTGGTTGGAAGTGGTAGATTACAGATGCTATTAAGGCCCCTTATTGCTACCTACATACTGGGAGCACAAGCCAGACATAGTGCCAAAACCCCTAGCAATCATTGCAGAATGTTCCAGAATATATACCCCAGACAGCAAAAAAATCACAAGTTTTTTGCTGAAACTAGGACCCCTGACACCCCTACAGACCAGAAAAATATATCCTTACCACATCTGTTTCACAAAATATATCCTAAGGCCAAGCCAGGGCAAAAATATATTTCTAAGGTGTGACAGTGACATTTCAGGGTCCACTCACCAAAAATATATCCTTACTGCATTTCACTTGCAAAATATATTTTGGTGGTGTGACACAGACATTATAATTTTTGTGTGACATTTCAGGGTCCATGTCTCAAGAATATATTTTAGATTTCAGGGCTTTCTAGGACCCATATATATCTAGAATATAGATATGGTCCATGACATTTAGTCATGTAACTTACGTGGAGTTTGCATGACTAATAGTCAGTTGGCAGTGGGTGACTGAAGTGCAAAGGGAAGGAACGAAATGTCAACGACATCGAGCTTATGCCTGGGTTGGGGGCCTTTGTCACTGAGACCGATTACAAAAGTCACATTGCTAACTACGTCGACCAACCAGAGGTTCATTTTTCAGCGTCTTGTAGTATCAACTAATTATTTATATGCGACAGGTTAATACATGCGAGTCTCGGCATGACGCCCTAGTGCGGGCGGCTACTCGATCGACACCGGGCTATGCAGTTTCTGGAGCGGTGGTGGTTATTTGCTTGAGGCATTGTCTGGTACGCAAAAACGGAGCCGGGGATCTTCAACTAGGCGAGAAGTATGTGGTTATTATTTCTGATCTCCTCCTTGACTCATCACATGGTTTTTAGATACTGTAACGTGGACTTCATTGTCTTGGCCGCCCTCGTTGGCGTCACGCTCCTTCGCATCGTGCTCACATACGACATTGCCTGCCAATGGTCGAAGAACTTCCGGAAACGTATGGAAGAGTTCCCACCGGAAATGCAGATTCCGGAGACAACTAAGTGTGACGTGGCAGTCCCTGGATGGCATATCAACGGCCACGGCGAGTCATGTAGGAACAACTTCAACCTCAGTTACATGGAGGGGGCTGCGAGAACAGTTGGCGAGGACGTTGAGACGATTTGGGCAGGCACAAATCCATTGGCCCCAAGCATTCGCGAAATGGGTCCAGCAGCACGGCACGACACCCTGAACGACCATTGGAACGGATGGAATTTCCGTAAAGTGGTTCGATTTCGTACGTTTTCTTTCATTGTCTTTTGTTCATTGTATCCTGATTAGTATATTTAGGTATCTCGCTCCTAAAACGTTTCAACGAAGCAATAGAGATGTCCGCCAAGCAGAGCGACATCTTCAATCAATTAACTGCGACGTTTTCTTCCGAAACCATCAAAAAATGGGAAGCGTTAGTGGCCAACTGGAATGCAGATAGCAAGGCTCCAAATCCTTATCAGGAGCCGACAAATAGTACGTGGCGTCTCACTGTTGTCTTACATTCTTGTAACCGATGTTTGTATAGAAACGACTTTGCAGGATGTTCGCCTTCGGTTGGTGAGGGAAGAAGCTGCCCAAGCCGCCCTCGGCGACCTTCCACGACATAATACCAGCCTATTAACATTTTTGATGATCAGCTTTGAGTTGGAGGACAGCCAGTACGTACTTCATTTCTAATTTATCTAATTTGTTATCTGAACATGTTTTAGATATCTTCTTCGTCACGAAGTAGCAGAGAAGAAGGGTATAAAGACCAGTAAAAATCTTGCCGACCTACAAGAGAAACGCACTGCCCTTCTTCGCCGAATTCAAAACTGGCATGAAGTTCAACTCATCTACATCCCTCAAGTTGCCTCCCTTCTTTCTCAGCTGGAAACCCCCCCCGAAACTGGCACAAATACAACACCACCCTCTGAGAACCTTGTTGAAAATATTCCGCTTTTCATGCCTTCTTCCTTGCCCCACGACATCCGTACTCTCCCTATGCTCCATGATATATGTCAATTAGAGAGACAGCTACGTGAACCTCAAGCCGACGACGCCCTTGCCGATATACGTCGCCAGCGCCGTGTCATACAGGGCCTTTGGCAATTCAAAAAGTTAAATGTTTCTGGCACAGGAAATAAGCCAAACACCCGACTTATCACGCTATACAAGCGCTTCGACAACAAAACAAAGCGGTTTGCTCAAAGGTACCGGACAGCGTGGCAGGCTATGCGCATCCTTGATCCTGATGGTACCTGGTCAACGTGTTTGAGGGAATTGAAGGACATTGATATCCGTGGTCCTGGGAAGGACCTTGACAATACTTGCTCAAGCAACAGCCGTTATGAGCCGTCGTGGATTTGGCTCGTGCCATGTGTCACCTCTGAATCCAACGACCCCGAGGGAGGAATGCGTGAGGAGGAGTTCAATGACCATATGCGTGTTGAGTGGGCGAAAGCTCGGGCTCGCGTGATGCGATGGAAGGAGGAGCTGTTGCTCGTGCAGGAGGAAATGCGGCAAGTCCTCGAATATCACAAATGGAAAGCTGCCTGGTGGCGTACGCAGGGTACTTTACGAACACACAATGACGCTACCATTCTCAGTGGTGTTGCAGGGTATGCTCATAAGCAGGCCGCGATCTCTCTGCGCTTAGCTACTAAATGTGCTTATTACTGGCTGCCACGGCTGGAGAGTAAAGGCATTACACCATCATGGGCAGTTGAATATGTAGACTTTGCTAACCCTCCTCATTCTTGTTCTCGTACAGGGCAACGCAATGGAAGATTAGACTCGGAGGACACGACTACAGATCATGAAGGTAATATAGATAGTGACGAAGAGGAGGAACATCCTGAAATAAGTGATGAGGAGTATTTTTCGGACATAGATAATGTTGAGTAGACAGGAATATGTAGATGACAGAAGATTACATTTATCTAAAGATTGAAGATGCATAAGATGAATATCTGCCCAGTGCAGAGAGGGGAGGAATGAAATACCACAAGGGAAAAATGAAAAATGCGAAGGGCAAGGAATGAAAAATGAGGGGGAGGAATGAAATACCCAGTGAGCAGAATGAAAAATACAGAGGAGAGGAATGAAATACCCCAAGGCAAATGAAAAATGCAAAGGGCAGGGAATGAAATACCCAGTGAGCAGAATGAAAAATACAGATGAGAGGAATGAAATACCCCGGAAGGAATGAAAAATGCTGAGGGTAAGAAATGAAATGCTCCCCCAAAAGAATGAAAAAAGCGAAGGGCAAGGATTGAAAAAGGCAGAGGGGAGGAATGAAAAATGCTGAGGATAAGAAATGAAATGCTCCCCCAAAAGAATGAAAAAAGCGAAGGGCAAGGATTGAAAAAGGCAGAGGGGAGGAATGAAAAATGCTGAGGGTAAGAAATGAAATGCTCCCCCAAAAGAATGAAAAAAGCGAAGGGCAAGGATTGAAATGCCTCCCAAGGAAACAATGAAATGGCCTAGGCATTTCTTATCATATTTCAATTGGAGGTCTTTACCATCCCCCACGTAATCCATGTGGATTCCAGTGGAGTCCAGTGGAGTCCAGTGGATTCCAGTGGCCCAGTTGCTAGGCCAGATTGGCTTGCACAATGCCCAGTCCACTGGACTCAAGTCCAGTCCAGTCCAGTCCAGTCCACTGGACTCTCACTGGACTACAAGCCACTTTCCTGAGTCCAGTCCCAGTCCAGTGGACTATGAGTCCAGTCATAGTCCACTGGATTCCACTGGACTGCAGTGGAATCCAGCAGTCCAGTGAGTCCAGTCCATCATTAGTTATGGATATCAATTACTACCAAAAAAGCGAAATTAGACTATAGAAATGTAATGAGTTATATAGAAGTATACACAAGTACTCGTCGTAACAACGATCAATCATTTTGTTCAGTCTGCGGGGTGTGGCACGTGACGTACCCGTGGTGTTCAAACGTTGCCATACCGTCACGTTTGCCTTCTGCGGCATAGTCACATCTGTGTGACCATCTCTTTCCCTTCCACCACCACCACCACCACCCCTCGCCAACGTCCTGCACCCACCACCACTCTCGGCCATCGCCACCGCTCTCAGCCACGTCACCGAAGCAACACGCCGAATGAAACGAACGAGGAAACAAGGGACCGCGCCCAGTCATGGGTGTCGGTGCCACGTCGCTATCGGCGACGTGGCAACCAGACGACGAACGACGACAAGCGTCGTTCGTCGTCCATGGGTGAGCAACCCAACTCCACCTGATCCACTCACCCACAGATGTCGACATGGCGCAACAACGCAACCCGGCGACGACACGTCGACAACGACCACGACGGCACCATGACCCTACACAACAACCGCAACACGCGCAACGGCAACCCACGTCACGAAGCGAACGAAGACACGCCAGGACGACAACACAACACGAGCACCCCCCACCACACACGAAAAATGACGAGCGCCCACGAAAACGATGAAACCCACGTCACGGCAAATGACGAGCGCCCACCACCGTCAACGAACCGCGACGAGCACCCACCCACCCCCACACACGAACGACGACGAGCACCCACGAAAAACGACGAGCGCCCACCACCACGACCCACGACCGCCCACTGACACGACGATGACGTGTCAACGACACGCCAGGACGACGACGCGACACGCCAGGACGACGACACGACACGCCAGGACGATACACAACG